GCGCAGCACACGCCAGCGAGACCAGCACAGGGCCCGCAGCGGCGGCCACTTTGGAATCCGAGTCAGCCAGGCCCGGCCAGCGCAGAGCCGAGCCCGCCGGGCAGCGCCTCCCACACTGAGGACCCCGCTCCAGGGCGAGGGGGGCGGCGGGGGCCTCGCCGGGCCACGGCGACCTGGGGGTGTGCAGCGGGAAGCCTGGGTGCGCCAGTGTCCGGGACCAGCACCCCGCCTCATGGCGGGGCTCCATCTGAGGGCTGCAGTGTGGAGGACGAGACCCCGGGAGCGGGGCGCCGAGAGCCAGCAGGGCCTGCTGGACGGGGGCGCCCAGGGCAGCGAGGGGAGACCCTGCCCCAGAGCCAGGGCCGCGCGGTGATGCAGCCCCTGACGCCTCCGCTGCAGCACACGCCCAGGGACGCCTCACTGACCTCTCGGCGGCGGGGCCCACAGCTCCGGCGGTCCTGCTCCCACAGCCCGGGCGCGGCTGTCCAGCACCGGCCCCTCCAGGCCTGGCCGCAGCGAGGGTGCAGCGTGGCAGCTGGGGAGGAGAAGGGAGAGTGAGGGGCAGCGGCCAGGCCAGGGACCTCCAGGCAGCCCGCAGCACCTCCGTGGGGACGCACAGGCAGGGCCACCAGGAAGCCAGTGGGCAGGCGGGCGGGCCGGGGGCAGGGCGCTGGGCTGCCCCACCCGACCCCCTCTGCAAGTCCCTGAGACGCAAAGTTCGTGGCAGCAGGAGAGGTGCCCTCCTGCTGACACCCCACAAGTGCGCCCCACTCGGGAGCCTGGAATCCACGACCACGGCCAGTGTGGCTCTGGGGAGGGCCGGGCAGGGCCGCAGTGACCCCGCACCCAGGAACAACCACCCCGGGCCCCAGGCGGGGCCGTATCCTGCCCAGCCCCGCCCTACACCTCGCAGGCTGGCTCAGGTCGGCCCAGACCCCAGCGGGCCGGCCACACGCGCCCACCCCACACAGCGGACTCACTCTCGGGGCTGCAGGGCTGGGCTCGGCCAGCCCGCGGAGCTGGAACCTGGGACAGAGCAACGTCCGGAGGCACCTCGGGCGGCGGGGCACGGGGTGGGGGTGGGGGCGGCCCGGCCCCGCGAAGCCTCAGGAGGCGCGGAGCGGACAGTGGGCTCCGTGGGTGTCGCATTGCACGGACACCTGTGCTGAGGACCGGCCCCGGGCCACCAGTGTCCAGCCCACGGGAAGCCCGGGCCGGCCGGCCGCCCGGACTCAGCACCCTGCTCACCACCCGCCTGCCGAGAAGCACACAGCAGGAAGGCCGAAGGGCCCAGCTTGGGCGTCTGCCGGCCACCCCTGGACACCGCCACGCAGGGCAGACCCTGCGACCTGGAGCGAGGCAGCCAAGGCGCCCTTGGAGGGCGACGGCCACCGCTGCCCTTGTCCTGACCTCCGGCCCGGCATGCCCTGGGGACACGGCGGCAAGAGGCCCCCAGGGCTGCCGCAGGACCCTACGAGCCGGCAGCCTGGTCAGAGAAGCGGGCCCACCGGGAGGGCGCATCACACTCAGGGCCGGTGGACAGGACAGCGGGCAGCAGGGACGGCGGGTGCAAGCTGCCACGGCTGCCGGACGGTCGTGGGCTGGCTGGTGAGCGCAGGGCGGCTGCAGGGCAGCAGCATGGTGCCGGCCCAGGCGCGAGGGGGCAACGCCACCGCAGTGCCCCTCACCTCTACCGACCCGCTCAGACCTGGCGCCACAGGGGACTGGCCAGGCACGGCGGGGGTGGGAAGGCTGGCGCCCGGGGCAGGCGGGGACGGGCAGGCCCAGCCCCCGGAGGGCAGCGCGCCACAGCCGGCACCGCATAGGAGACCCCCAGGCAACCGCGCACACCAGGTGGGCGAAGGTGTCCAGTGTCCAAAGCAGAAGGCCCGTGGTTCCGGCCGCCGGCCTGGGTCCGAGAGGCGCTCAGGGGCCCCTGCACCCAGAGGGCGGCCGTGGAGCGGCCAGGCCAGCACTGGGCACCCAGCCCTGCAAATGCGCAGGGGTCAGCAGGGCCCTGAGGCCGCCAGGGGTTGCGGGCAGCTCGTGCAGGCTGTGCCGGGCAAGGCCCTGGCGGCACTTTGCAGAGGGAGGGGCCCGTGGGTCACTCGGCTGTGCGGCGGGGCCACTCTGAGGCCGGCCGCAGGCCACCTGTGGCCCCGGGGCAGCAGCAGGTCGGCCGCAGCCCGCAG